TAGAGATACGGTATCGTGTTCGGATTAGCGCGCTTTCAACGCATTTCCAAATGTCGCGAATAGCTTAGAAATCACAATTTACGGGAGTTAGGGATCCGCTAGCATATTTATAGCGCTAAGCCCAAGAATAATCGTCGAATCAAGGCTAATCCTTCATAATTTCCTCTGATTTTTTCTACTTTTCCTTTCGTTTTCTCTGATCTTCCCTATGATTTTGTTTTTTATTATAATAATTAGCTTTCATCGTATCTATTTACAAAGAGTCACATAACAGTCTCGGTTGGAAAAATAATAGACAAGCGAAATGAAAAAGGGTATCAACAATTTTTCCCACTCTCGAATTCACCAAAAAAATTCCGGATTAACCCGTTTTCTCCACTGCTTTCTAAAGAATCGTAATAATGAAACCCCGGAAAGAGGACCTTTTCTTTCATGATCCCTTCAAATTTTTCTCGCTTTCTTTTTCCCCTTATCTTTCCTATTATTTTATATTTTTTATGTTTTCCGCTTTGAGATAGTTTTCTCCATATTGCGCTAATTCTGGTTTTTGACACCCTTGAAAAAAGATCGGTCAGATACGCCTCTGTGAATTCGCACCTCGGCCAGGGGTTAAGAACAGGAACAAAACTTAAATTTGTAAACTGGAAATAGCGAAGCAGGACACTTCCACTCTCATCCTCTCTTGAGTAATGTTCATTTATGGCAAGTCACTTAGCATCTAGCGGTCAGAGGTCAGAAAGAAGAAAAAGGCGCAAAAGAAGAAGTCGCATCCGAAAATGCGAATCACTCAAAACATCTCACCAGGTGTCAGCTGCTACATGAATACGAACTTTTGTGAGGCAGCTCAACACAATTCTCGAAAGGCTTTTCATGGACGTAAGCAAACCAGCCCTTTTGGCGTTTCGGCTGGGGCCGTATGCTGAATGTTGGGGAGGGGATGGGTCCCCGACGGTCGACGGACCACTTCAACTCGGTCCTTAAACCGCCACAATTTGGTGCTTACCTCAGAACTAAGCCTTAAAGAGAGGACGGGTCCGTCCCCTCTCCAAGGCTTAGTCCTGGGGTGAGCAAACCAGCCCTTCTGGCGGAGCTGCTGGACCAGCTGCACCACTTGCGTCAGTACTCTCCTATCGTACCAACCGAGTTGAAGTAGTCCGTCGACCGTCGGGGACCCCATCCCCTCCCCAACATTCAGCATACGGCCCCAGCAGAAACGCCAAAAGGGCTGGTTTGCTTACCTCCTTTCGTGTAAGTCTCTTTCGGAATCACACATACAATCCAATGAGGTTTACCCAGCGCTTATATTAGTGTGCAAAATGTTATCGCGATCACACCAGAGATTGTTCCTCGCTTTG